AAGCGGGAGACCGGGATGCGGGTGGGGATCATGTTTGCTAGTGGGCCAGGGGGTCAAGGGCATGTTTACGCTTTCGGTCGAGGAGCTGGGCGGGATGGCAATGATGAAGAAGAATGAAGAAGAAAGGAGGCCGAAGGAAAATGAAACCACCTTTGTGAGGATGCGGCTGTTGCGTCCCAGCTGTCTGTGGAAACTGTCATCAATTGCTGCAGCTTGAGAACTACCCAAACGTTGGGAAATCGATGAGACGAAATGCTGTGAGGTAGTGCATGAGCTCTAGTTGCATGATTTGCATGTGACATTGCCAACTAGTCATTGTTCTCGGGTCCAGCAACACTCACCCAAGAAAATAGTTGTCGTCCAGAAAAGGCCAAAAGCACACAAACACACACTTTTCTTGGATTGATCACACCTATGCCTATACCATTCCTGTTTCTGCATAACAAGCAATGAGAGAGGTAGAGAGAGAGAGAGAGAGACCAGAGAGCAGAGAGCAGAGAGCAGAGGGGGGGGAGGCGCAGATTGTCACCGCCTAAACAATCAGCAGCCTTGGGCGACGCTCAGGTCCTGATTGATGGAGATTCCTTCATCCAACGTCCTCCCAGTAAGGGTCAGCTGCTCTCTGCGCCTTGTGCGCAAGTTGTGACATCAGTGACGTTTGCTCCCGCTTCTCCCGCTCGAAGTGCTCCTGCGACAAACAAAAGTCACCCATTCTGAAAGAGAATGATAAGATGATATGACGGACGGATAAGAGAAGCAGAAGAGAAATCAATCCTCGAAACTGTTTCCATGATGACCTTGGAACAAGAAGGCTGGGGTTAGAAGGCTGGGGGGTTAAAATCCCATCACACCGAACCCGCCACTCGCAACGATCGACCAGGCAACCGCACCAAGGCTTCCACCTGCTTCCCTTCCAACGCGATGGCCTGGCGGGTCAAGGGGGCCGTGGGTACGTGGACATGAGCGAGGCAACTCAGCATCCGTTCACTGGGCCTGGTGTCAAAGCGAATGATTTGATGACTGGGCTTGCTGCCGGGTCTTGGTGACTGTATTTTCACCAAACTGGGCTTAGGATGGCTTAGGTCATCTTCAGAAAAAGGCAAAAGCTTTTGAGTGGCGAAAGCGCAAGCATGCATGGCTCACAGTGGCACTGGCGCTCAATCCTGCCATTGTGAGTTCAGGGAAGGCCATGAGAGTTGATGTGGTGGGAACTGCGGCTTTCGAGCGACCTGCCAACTCTTGTTCGGAACAATGTGTGAAATCAGTGTACTCCCTGAAATAATCATGGAAGTGGAAACCGCCTGCTTGTTGAGGAAAATGGTCACCCATTTGGATGCATGGTAAAATCCATTCATATGGGGGTTTTATCAATCAAGAGTCTACATTACATCAATCAGCTGCACATGGAAATCAATACAAAAAGCTGGTAGCGAACTGAAGTTGCGCCCAGTTGCGGTCGGACTCATGCTCAGACTTCAGCAGCATCACCTCAAGAACGCTCGCTGACGATGCTCATGTATACGTACAAGACTGCATCAGGAGTTGATCCGGTGTTGCTCCAATGGATGAAAACCGGCTATCCTATGTTTGGCAATATGGTCTCCGAATAATTTTGCACGCAACCGTGGCCAATGTAGGTGCTTCAGCAAGTGGTAAGGCTATTTGTGAGTTGCCCAAAAATCAGTAATGCAACCACCATTGTTTCTTGGGATTGCACACACGGGATTGTTGCAATTCCCTGTTAGTAGGTCATGCAGTTTCTCTTTGCAGAACAGCAGTATGGATATCTACATGGGCAACGGGATCTTCTGATCTTCACTTCCCACTGTGGGGAAGCTTGACCCACTTCTGCTATAATATACATACTGGCCTCGGCACGAAGAGCATTGATATCCTTGATGCAGTTGGCGGTTTGCTCCCGCACCAGCCTCGCAAATTTCAAAACCGATCAAAAAGACCCTACAGGTAGGTGGTGGAACTGGACGAAAGCATCAAATGCAAAACAAATCATGCACAACCCCTCGAGCCTCTGATCCTTTGAGGGGCTTCCTCCTCCCCTTCCTCCCCCTCCTCCCGCAATGTTTTCGACGAAATCTTCCGCCGCCTCAGCTGCGTGTTGTGGAGTTCCAGCTCCTGCCGAATCAGGGAAGTGAATTTGATTCCATCTCTGCCCAAAAGGAAGATCAGGTGAAACAGCAAAAAAACGCAGTTGAAGTCCACTCTTGGGACAAATCGAAGATGAAACTTTGAAACAACTATATAAGCACCTGAAAAAATAAGAATGGGAGACCAAATCGATATGCGATATTGGATGCATCACCTTCAACCATCTATAATATGACATGTTCTCATCTGAAAAGTCCGCGCCACTCCTGAGAAGTGGGCGAGAATGCCCCCGACTCCAGGTGCGAGAGGTGGGTCGACATGGGTCGCCCCCCTCTCGACGAAGAATCGATCAGCGATGAATCAAATGACTCTGCTTGCCCTTTGTTACTAGTAGCGTCCTTGTTACTACTAGTAAGGCACTTGTTACTAGTAGCGATGCACTTGTTACTAGTAAGATCAAATGATCTCAGATCACCTCAGAATTCCGAAGCTTTAGTGACTTTAGTGAATCGCCCTTGAAATCAGCCATCAGCCATTCGAAGTGGTTGGTTTGAAGGATTCTGAGGTTCAAAGGTTACGATATCAGCGGAAGTCGCACATGTCCCCAGCGCTTCCAGTGCTCTGACTTTTCAGGTGAACCACCCAATACTTCCTAGAAGTAAACATTTTTAGTCGCACATGTCCAAAGCCCTTTCATTGGAGTCATTGAAAATTCTGGAATTGCAACTGCCCTGGAGTTTTCTCATTCCAGGTCAAGCAAACATCAATTCCTCGCCGCATTCATTCCAAGGATGTCCCCACCTTGAGGAGGCACTGAGACAGGGTCGGGCTGAGCTCTGGCTGGGTCCGGCTGAGCTCTGGCTGCAGACAGGGTCGTCGGATCTCAAGGCTCTTGAGGGGCTTCCATGAATCTGGTTTCTGGATGTGAAAGAACTGCTTTCATCATGGAGGGATGATGATGGAAATCCTCCACCTGAGGTGGCACATGCTTTTGGAACCTATGATTTATATACCCTTCCCACACCCTGTGTTTTTCCCAATGAGGGAGCTTTATATAGCGGACAAGACACCAAATTAAATGAAGAGTCATACGGTAATCATAATTGCGAGATTGAGATCAGATGATCAAACAAAGACCCAAATCATCTCAAGCAACAGTGCTCAAAGCCTGCCAGTAATCTCGTGTGGCTTGGAAAGGCCAAGATTGAAAAGAAACGATTCCCCAAAATGGAGCTGCAAAACTGAACAAATTCAACCTGGTGGTCTGGATGAACTTAGACGTCGAACAAATGTGTTCGGAACATTCCAACCTGCTTCATGTATATTGTGTATCTTTGGATGTCCCAAGAGCCCAAGTGCTCCAGTGCTTGGCTGTGTCTGCTATTCCGGCCCTCGGGTGGAGAGGATCGCCAGTTAACCTCTCATGATCATGGTCTACCCTGCCCTTTCACCACCCAACTCTTCTTCACTTCGCCCTTTCTGATCGAAGCTCCAGAAATGCGTGGAGCTCCCTCAGCCGCGGCTGCCCTTTCGCCCACGCGGTTTCCAGCGAACCTGCGGGTGGAAAATAGAAGAAACCCCGCAAACACACGCCATGGGTGAAACAGCGACAGTCCCTTCGGATACTCTAACAGTCGACTCTATATCATTGGTCAAAGTTTTATTGAAACTAAAAGGTGATCTTCGGAAACTTTACGGCTTTCTTCGGAAACTAATCTTCGGAAACTAACCTTCGGAAGCTACGCGGTTTTGTTCGGACACTTCACGGTTTTCTTCGGAAATTGTTCTGTGGAAGCTAATCTTCGGCAACTCAAAAGTGATCTTCGGAAACTTTAAGGCTTCCTTCGGAAACTATTCTTTGGAAACTAATCTTCGGAAACTCTACGGATTTCTTCAGAAACTAATGTTCGGAAACGACGAAGAGTCGAAGAGCAACATCAAGAATGCACAAAAAAGTTTCTGCAGATCGTAAAATAGGCATGTATACAGTATACTATATACCGCGGCCATCACAAGGTACGTCAATAACCCACCCACCCACCCACCTACCCATCCACCCCCCACCCACCCAGTGCTCCTTCATGCAATTTGATTACAATATTGTATTAAAAGTTCTGAAGAATACTTTCTAAAGCATGCAAATAAGTTTTTGAAGATCGCGAAATAAATTATGAAGATCGTGAAATAGTTTCTAAAGATCGCGAAATAGTTCCTGAAGATCGCCAAATAGTTTCTGAAGATCGCGAAATAGTTTCTGAAGATCGCGAAACAGTTTCTGAAGAAAAGTTTCTGAAGAGTAGTTGCGGAAGAGTACCAACTAGTTGCAGAAGAAAAGTTTCAGAAGAATGGTGAGTTGCGGAATAGGACTTTGTTCCTATATCATTGATCTTTCAGAAAGCCCGCACTACCTTCGAGCCCATGACTTAGGGGACATCTTCGCCGATGATGTGAGGGATGCTCTGAGATGCTCTGGGAATGCGTACCCAAATGCGGGCTTCGCCTTCCATGTGTTGATGAAGTATGTGGATCGACCGGGATTCTACAGGAACCGAAGTGGATGTGTTGATCAGAAGCGGGACTTCCCACATCGACTTTCTTGGATTGGACAATCATGTGTAGGTGATTGAAGCTCCTTTCGATCTGCCTGTCAAACCTTCTGTCCCCTAGGGCAGGAGCAATTCCACATGGTGCCACTGATTCTCCTAATTGGGTGGTTCTGGATCACCTGAATGGCCTGAAGGGGGCCAGGATTGAAGGACCGGTACCACCCACCATACCACCATGAAAACCTGGCTCCTCAAAAACCCTCCGTTTGGGGTGGCTTTGCGCTTAAAGTACCCGAGCCGAACCATTCTTCCATACTTTTTCCACTGGCATACACATCTCAGCCAATCCTAGGCTGATAAATAGGTCTCAGCTTTGTGAGGAGGAAGCAGAACGGTCAATTCTGCGCCAGCGAAATAAGTGTCCTGTGCCATCAACAGCGCGATGATCGTCTGCAACTTGTGATATCGGTCCATGGCAATCAGCAGCAAATTCTCGGAGGACTTCTCATTCTGAAACATCGCGTGGCGAGAATTCACAATGTGAACATGGAAATACCAGAACGTCGGATGGTAATGTACCTCATCAGGGCATGTCGCTTGGCCAAGTCTTGTTTGAGTCGTCTCCAAGATTCAACGAACCCTGAAGGGAGGTTGTCAATTGAATCTAGGAAAAACGGTCCTGTTCAAAGAGGTATGGCTCATGGTGGCACCACTCTTGGCAGATAACCAAGCACTGCCCGTTGCACCGGTCCACTTGAGAGGTGGAGATGGACGAAAGGTAGCATGTGAGCACGTTCCGAAAAGAAAGATGGCAGCAAATAAGAACAAGATTTCGAGAATCGCTGGGGGGGAAGCTGTTGAACTACTAGTAGTCATGCCCTTTGTTACGTTCGTAGCGATGCCCTTTGCTACTAGTAGCTTCGTTTTACTACTTGGAATTCGGGTTGCATCAATGTGTGGGTTTACGTCCAGAACCGCTGCATGTGGAATCGAAGGTAGACAAAATACTGGGATCTGCTAGAAATAACGAGCTGCATAGGCCAACAAAGACGAGGCCGACGCTCCGTGCTTCTCGGCCAGCCCTGGGACCACGACATCTTGAATCCGCCGGAGGAGCGGCAGATGCGTGGCTCGCAAATCCCGCAGAGACCGGACACCCATGTCGGAGAACAAGCACAAGTAGTACAAGTCATCAACCTCAGGTGCAGCGACCTGTGAGCTACCACAGCAAAGAATCGAAACCATGGTGGTTTCGAGTAAAAAGCAAAGCGGAGGAGTGCAAGAGGTCCTTGCTACTGAGGTCCCAGCCACCTGCGGCTGCACCTTTAAAGTCATCTATCAAGCTCTTTGAAGAGAATACGAAAAAACTACGCCACTTTGGAAAGTGCAGAAAAGGGCAGGCCAACTACTTGTAGTAACAACCGTTTGTTCGGGCAGCCACTTCGGTGTTTTGCCACTTATAGTCCTTCACCACCACAAGTCCATCTCCTCAGCTGACGCCACACGAATGGAGTCCATCCTTCGTTTCACAGAGCGACGACGTCGCCTTGTTTGTTGGCCTCCTGAACTCGATTCCTTTGCTCGTACAGCTAGGTGTTTGCTCGATCTTCAACTGCAACCAGGATCCTTTGCTCACTTATCTAGAAATCCGGCCAAATCACTTTCGCCGCGAAGAACGGAATTATATAACAAGACTTCCATGGCGAGAACCGGTGAACATGCCGTTGGCCGAATTTCGACCCTGCCAGCTGCTCAACCGGACATCCTCCCATCCTCCACAGCTGCGGTCGTTCGACCCCCGAATCGATCGATCGCGGCCAATTCACCACGTTGGGCGGCCGAACAGCACCGATTGATCGATCGATCGAACAAAACCGGGGTGCCGGAGAGTTCAGTGACCACATGCTCTTGCTCCGACTGGCCATGGATGATGTTGGCCACCCAGGTGTCACGCTTGTCGGCCCCCCTCTAAGGTGCTTGGAACTGTGACCTCGTAGACGAGGTTTTTTAGGAGAGGAGGCGTGAAAGAGGAGAAGCTAAAGAAGCTTGAGAAAAGGAGAGGAATCTATAACTTAGACAATAATCAATCTATAAGTCTACTGGTTACTGGAGCATGCATGTGGCAGGCCATACGTGGTCAGCCACGACAGACTCCACGATTTCGGGAGTCGGTATCATTTCTATCCTTTGTGCTTCCGGCCATGGAAGATCTCGCCGTCGGCGCCATGATTCCGATTCTGCAGAGCCACAAAGCTTAATATGTTTGTTCCGTGATTTCAAGGACCGGAAAAATCCCTACCTGGGCAAGGAAATTCATTTCTTTGCCAAAAGGCTTTCTCTGGAAAGAAGAGGTCTTCCATCGAGACGACACCCTAAAGGGTCCAAGAGGCAGCATCATAGAGCTGACGCGTCTCGCAAATGCGCTGTAGCACCACCTTCCTGCGCTTCTCAATGTCTTTCTTTGTCGCTGGCATGATGACCTCAGGGTCTCTTGGATTGTGGGATCTCGCTGGGCAAATCAAGTACAGCTGTTAGTGTTGCGGCGGATGCTGATGAAATCATAATCCACTGAGCGATCAGCCTCAACACACACATCCGCTGCGCCCTTGGTCATCTGCTTGTGGTATCGGTCATTGCAAAACCATCCACTGCTGCCTTCTGATTGTAAGGCCTTGCCGATGAGTGACCTCGATTGGTTGTGTGAGATTAGGTGGCAATTCCAAAACTCTTGCATGTCGAGGTGTGCAAAATGGTCAATGCTACATATCGGCAACACCAATAGACTCAATAGACCAAACATGCATGCTATCTTATGGGACTACATCTTTTCAACCTCAGACGAACACTTGCACTTATGGGAAGCTCAAGACTGGGGAGACATTCGTTGACGAGCCAGTTGGGCCCAAGGGAAGCTGGTTCTTACGTGCCTGACGAACTCCCCCCGTAAACAAACATCCCTAGAGCTCTGCCAATTCAAAAGCCTCAAAGATCTATGAAACCAAAGAACTTTCTTTTGGACAGTTGGTTCTTTATGTCTCTGCTTCTAGATCATCCAAGATCCATATTCTCAAAGCCAAGCATCTCCAAGTCCGCCTTCTCCTTCCCCAAGAAGACCTCCGTCGCCAGTACAGCCGCCGCCTCCTCACCCTTGCGCTCAAGAAGCCAGGCGCTGCTCGAGAGCTCCTCGCACACCTCGATCAGCTGCCGAGAGGAGGGACATCGGAGGATCAGGCATCAATCCATACCATTGTACCCCTTTACGTAAGGTCATCCTAGTCATGCACGGACCACATGCTGACTCCCAGTGGCTCGAGCTTTGCCGGTCAGAGACAGGTAGAAAACAAAAGAAGGGTACGAGACTAAGACCTGACTTTGAGCACAATAGCATTCTGCAAATCTGTTCAAAAACGTTGTCCTGCTCTTTACAGTTCAACCAGAAAAGGGTCAATCGTAATTCCTATACATATTCCTTATCATATCAAGTCAAAGTAGAAATGTAAGAAGCAACAAGCAGAACACCTAGAGCAACTGGTGTCATCCCAGTCTACCAGATTTGAGACACTTCAAGGCCAGTTTCATTGCTTTTGTCTGTCAGCTCTCTGTGGTTAACTAGGCCAAGGATGCCTCATAGCCACTCAGCTTCTCTTTCAAGGCACTTCTTTCTTCCATGGTCGCTATAAGTTTGCGCCAGTCCGCAAGAATGTCTTTGCCGCACAATTCAAAACATGTTTTCTTGTGCAAACACTTGGACTGAGTGCCCAGCAACGCTCGTCTGCAGGGAGTTCTGTTCGACGTTCGTTCATCTGTGTGTCATTCTTGCCCCATGGTTTGTGACAAAAACAATAATATTTTATATATGTATGTATGTATATATATATATAGAGATCCTTTTGAGCCAAAGGGGAGCAACATCACGGGATTCCTGACATGGACGGTCATAATCGCCCCCGGGATCCTGTTTGATCGTCCTTGCGGCCCCCAACGATCCTTCAGTTGGACGGGGCACCAGCGTAGGAACAAAACAGGCGATTCTCAAGATATGACAACCCACCATGAAGTCGTGGTTAAAGACCGTGGGTTGACATGCCTCTCACTTCAAGGGTTCAAGTTTCAACTCACGGACAAATCTTCGCAAATGATTCTAAAGTGCATCTTGTGCAACAGTGATCAACAGTGTCCCATTGCCTTGGTTTTAACTCAATATGGGAAGAGGTATGCCTGGTCCTACCCATGGTTTCCAGTGATGGTTTTCTCCAGACATGAATCTTCCCGCAGAGCATCACTGGTTTTCTGTATGTGTCTAGATCGCCTCTACAGCAGGTCGAAATCAAGGCTCAAATTTGCTCTTTCACACAACAAGACTTCCCAAAAAAACACTCAAAAGCTGTCTGAAATCGCTCTGCGAACTCCGATGGGTTTCGAGATCGCTGCCGATGTGTCCTCTCCCTGGACGCTCCGGACGCATCACGTCACCACGGCGCCACGGTCCCCCGCCGGGCCTGTCGCTCGGGGACGGTGGCCTTGCGCCACTCGGGATTGCCCGTCCTGGAGCCGACGGGACGCAAACGAGGCGAGTGCGCCAGACCTGGCAGGTGGAAGGAGCGACTCCGACGACAGATCCGGGTACATACCCGGTTTGGTCGGAGAGCTCTGCATAAGTCTCTGGAAGGCAAACCAATGCAACGAGGCAAGTCATCAGGGCTTTCAAGCTCCTTTCTCCCCAATTCCCGTCGAACAAAACACCACGGAGCGCGGAGAGCGGAGAGCGGAGAGCGGAGAGCGGAGAGCGGGGCGAAGACCGGGGAGCCGGGCCAAACACCCATCTTTTGGAGCTTCTCCATGCGAAGCTCCTGGTGGAGCTGGCTGAAACGAGTGCCCGGTCGACCGGGTCTGGGCGGGGCCAAATGGACCATGTGGGTGTGAAATGCACGGGTCAGCATGGGTCAGCGTTTCACAGGTGTTTTAGTTGGTGTCGTTCCAAAAAAATACCAATATTGGTTTTGGTATGTCATTCATTCAAGACTCTATTGACAGTATCCTGCCACATAGTATGCAGTAATTCGTGCAGGATGCCCATCACATGCCACAAGACGAGTCTTTCATCACCAGTCGCAGGTCATGCATGACACAGGACCTCTGCTTCCAGTCGAAGCTTGCGCTCGAGCTCCCGTGCGCGCTCTTTCCTTGGCCGTTCAAGATTGATGTACACTCAAGATTACTGAAGTTGATGAATTATGATAAATTATCTTTATAATTTATTGTGCTCTTATGACTTAATGGACCCAAGTGGACTCTATGACAGTATAGCGGGCTACATCTCAAAACGGGGCAGTTGTCTTTGGGAAGACTGTGGAAATCATACCTGGTGAGGGCTGGGAAATGCACAATGCACAATGCTCTACTGGCGGATATTTCCTTTTTTGATGGTCTTGCAGCATTGCATCTTTAGCTTGGCCCACTTTGGTCTGGTCACTGGTACTACCATGGTAGAGCGGGGCGTTTAGTGAGGCATAGTGCATGCAAATATCCCAGCGTTCTGGGTGGCACCCCAAAGCACAAATGCTGGTCACTGCTGATCTTCCGGGAGCAGATTCAGGGATTGCCAGAATTTACACCATTCTCCCAAAGAACATGTTGTTGTTTCATGACATTTAGTTTCCATAGACATACAGTATATTACATATATTACAAAACATGGGTCCTGTTGTTGAAGAACAGGTGCTGCTTCTCACACCCACCATGTGCTCAGACCCCAACTAGATGGGAATACTTTTCGATCAATTCGACCAATTAAAACACTGTATGACGCGATGTGTCACAAAAAGAGACCCTTTCAGGCGACTGTCAAGGACCCTGTGACGACATGCCTTTGCTCCACTGGTCGAAAAAAGCGAACTCCGGGTCCCCTGACTGCCTCTTGAGCCGTTGCTCACCAGGCATCTGGACCCACTCGGGGTTTTCTGGCGGACGACGGCAGACGACCAGGACGAATGGCCGGACGACCAGGACGCTTCGAAAGGGCGATGTTCCAGCTGAAACAGTTCTTGGGTGAAGTGCTTCTCAGATCGAGCCCCGAAAAAGGGGGTCCGAACGAAGCACCTGGCGCGCCGAACTCGGCTCGGTCACCACTCCGGCGCCCTCCCGGCTGGCTTGTCGAGGGTGCTTTGTTGTGTCCTGCAAGCCTCACGCGTCCGGACGGAGTGCTGGGGCAGCTCAGCCTCTTCGAGGCTTTCACCTCATAATATGAAAGAACAGACCCAAAATCCCACGAATCCAGAAAGTGTCAACAGCTAGCAACCAAGCACCAAGATTCAAGAACACCAAAAAAAATCACGCTACCAGACAATGCACATGCGATCTGGCGATATGAACTCATGGATCCTCCGATACCCGGATCGCCGGTCGTTGAGCCGGGCGGACCAGCATATCTGGAGCCGTAGACCTCTTTCGTGAAGGGATGTTTTCGCATCCTCGCGGAGGGCGCGGGACGACGGGGGCGGTACATCCGAAGCCTTCGACGTCTGGGCAGATTCATTGAGCACTGGACAAAAAGTCGTGGGCAGGTCGGGAAATGCATAACTATCTGTAGAGTCACCAGGGAAGATGGCCGGTGGTGGATCAGTGGATTCATACAAGTTTACAAGGGAAGAAAGTGGATCTTCTATTGGCCAGTGGCCTCTGTTGAAATTGGTCAAACATGAGCCCCTCTTCAGTACCGTCTAGATCTTCATCTACTTTCTCGCCCTTAGCGTACCCGTCTTCCACCTGTTTTCAGAAAACCTGGCAAACCAAGACACTGTATTGGGTAAGATGCAAAGATTCACAGCTTGTAGCTGTTGAACAAATCTGCTCAGCAACGCAACGCAAAGACAAGACACTCGATATGGTCCCCCCTTACAAACAACAAACCTAATAGGGATGCAGGACACAAAGGCCAAAAGGACTCCAGCCAAGAGTTGCAGTCATCTTGGAGTAGCTAGAATATGGAAAAATGAAAAAACATCCAAATGCGACGGATAGTAGAATGGATAGTATCCACTGCTCAACAAGATTCGCAAGTGGCTTGGACGGATTCAAATAGTTGCGCTATGAATGGATAGATTCGCCCCAAATAGATTCCAATAGATCGCTTTTTAGTGGGATTCCTTCAGATCGCCTGGTGTGGCGGCCACAGCATGAGCCAGACCCAGCTGCTCAGGTCCCAGCATGACCACAAACTTCAACTGGCCATTGCGGTAGCGGCCTCGGCGGTCCAGCGGGTCCCCGGCTTTATCTCAACACCGTTGAGTCCTCTTTGTAGTCGTGATTCAGGTCAATGAAAACCCAGTGAAACCTGGTCGGACTCCTTCAGTTTGAACATCCAGGGACAGACCCGGCGTCCTGAGTGCACGGCAGTTGCCCATCTTCCTGACCCAAAAGGAACTAAAAAGCCATGCGCAAACATCACTTTGGCTGAAAGGCCCAAAACACTTGGTTCCACTTCACTTCTCGTGTTGTTTCCAGGTTGGATCCAATGTACCATGTACCAAAGAGCCACAAGTTGCAACTTCTATCACCAGATTGGCCACAAACCCCACTGCAGACCACACCTCCGCAGTCTGCGGAGCTGCCTCACTGCGGGCTCCGTGGGTTCTTGAAAGATTGGGAACCCCACACTCGAACAAAGCTGGGACAGCGCAAAAGAAGAGTGAGCTTTTCCATCTGATGAGAGCTTCCTAAAGAAATTGCAATGAGAATAGCCTCAATAACCTCAGAACCTCCTCCTCCTCCTCCTGCTCCTCTAATCATATACACGTATACAGTATATATTGAATGTTTATATAGACTTCTAATTTATATAGTGTCTGTGTGGGTGTATGTGTGAACATGCAGCTTCTTTATACACACTCACAGCCGCACAACTGCTTCTAAATTCGTTTGGCCAAGTCCAGGATCATCAAACTTTTGTTTACCAATTGCTGTAGAAGAACCATTGTCCAGAGTCGCTTCAGACTCTTTCCTTCAAGTGTCGATTCAGTCAAGTGCACCGCCTAGCATCAGTTCTGCAAGTACGTGCGACTTGCCCTTCCAAAAATCAGCTCGAACCAGTTTTGCTAGTAGCCAACAAGGACTCGAGGTTGCATGGTGGATACAGGCCAGAGTTGCGTCTGCATGCATCGAAATTCAAGCTTGAATTCCTGTTGAGGCAAGCCAAATTGCTTGAGATACCGAACTGCAAGGATATGAAAGCAACATGCCTTTGCACCACCCTCAAATCCCCAATAGAATTCATGACTAGTTGCCAGTCGCATGGAAGGTGTTAAAAAAGACAGAAAAATTGTCCAAAACCCAGTTTAGCAAGTTTCTTCTTCCCAACGGCACGCATAAACACATCACCGCTAAGATGCTTGAAGTACTCGTACATCAACTTAGGTTTTTTCCTGGCCAAGGTTGTCCCCAGTACGCACATGGGATGTCGTGGGGCATGTCTGTAATGAAGCACATCTATCTTCGACCCCAATCATTGGTGGACGCCCTAGCTTGTAAAACTGACATGGAAAATTGCAAAACACGCCTTTGGATGCCTCTTGTCTAAGTCAAGGAAAGTATTCTGTTTTTTGCTGTCACTGTCCGCGTCAGTTTTTGAGAAGTAGGTCTTCGTTTCTGAGATGGTCGATTCTTTCCGTTTGCAGTTCAGTCCGCCTCTCAACCTCCGACTCTGGCATATGGAAGTAGCTGTTCCACCTGACAGTAGTCCATGCCCATGCAACCATAAAAACAGATGTATAAAGATCTAGTTTGCGCATGTATTCAGTCTCAAAGGTCGCACACACGCTTTGAAGGACCAAAGAGAAGGAGGGAGGGACCGGAGGGAGGGAGGGGAGAGAGAGAGAGAGGGAGAGGGAGTGAGAGAGGGAGTGAGAGACGTGCACCAACTGGTTTTTCTACCTGCAACACCATATTTAAAGCAAAAAATGTATTTATATATATATATATATTATAAGCAAAACACTCAGGCTAGAAGCTTGTATCGCAGGACGCAATCTGCAACTTTAAGACCTTGTCAGTGCATAGCGATCTGAGGCATGGACTTGCCCTTCTCTTCCGTCTCTGCGCTGACCTGGGCCAAGGGCCACAGGATGTTCAAGTCGTCAAAACATCCCGCCGTGCTCGTTTCTGCCCGCGTGGTCGCGGGTGTTTTCCAATTCCGTGTTTTTCCAACTTATAGTTTTCAATCGTTCCACCTGCTTTGATAAGAATCATAGAAGAGCTCGAACACGGTCAAATGCCGCTGCGATTTTCAGATGAAAACGACACGAGGCTGAGGTTTCAGGCGATCTGAGCGCGACTATTATCCTCCTCCAGCATCTGTGTTCATGCAAGTCTTTTGCTCAATCCTTCGCCAAAGCATTCCAAGAGGTCCTTCTTTTTGTAATGCCATCGCCGCTGCCAACATTGAAAGTGTCTCCGTATGTTGCAGTTGATTTCATCCCCATCACACGATCGCAGCATTGTTCATATGCTTTCCTTGCACAGTCGCCAAATTCCATCGGTGGAGTCTGTGTGGATCAGCAGCTGTTCTCCAGAGCAAAGTCGCCTCTTCACGTAAAACGCTTCGTGGCATAGCCACAATCTGGGTAAAGACCAAAACGTGTTGTCCTGCAGAGGCAGCTCAGCTCAAGTCTTCGAAGGCTCCCATTTGCAGAGGCGCTGTCGTGGCCATGGCCGTCACTACCACTTTCCTCCAAATGCGCCAAAACATCTGGTCAACGAAGAGAGCATGATTCCACAAAGGTTGTGCCTCGAGAGGAGACCTATTCCATGTAGGCTCAACATCCTGCTCAGCATTGGTTTCATGGCTGCTTCACCAAGCTTCGTCCAGTCATCGGTCTTCGCCGGCAAGATGAAGACTCTTACATCCATCCAGCGGTGGCAAAGACTCGGACTCGTCTTGCTCTTAGTGCCATTGGCACAGTCCCCCAATAGACAACCAGACCATGAGTTTGTTGAAAAAACATGCCTCCCACCTGGAAAGAACCCACAAAGCACTCCACAAACAGGGTCTAAAAGGACTTGTAGTCGTCTATAGTTTTGGACAAAGTGAGAATGCCAAGCGTCGAACAACAACGAACAAAATCGGTGAGGCTGTCAACGCGCAATGGTGATCGACAGTTGAAAATGACACCTCGTGGACAAAGGAGAGACTGGGATCGGGGAACCGGGAGCAAACATCAATGTGTGCATCCAAGAAAAAGAGATCTGCCACGGAGAAAACCCGCAAAAAACGATTTGGGGAGGGGCACTTTCACGCCACACAAACATAACAAAAGAACCAACGACAAACACAACAACCTCGAAAGTTGCTCCCGTCATGTCCTCGAAGCCAAGACGCAATGCATGCAACATGTGGAAAAGAAAACGAGGCCATGCTACAGTACATTACATGCAAATTCTGGACAACATGTACAAAAATGTGTCAGACAACGCAGCGCAAACATGATCGAAGAAAGGTCGTCACCATCCCCGGCCCCCCCTCCCATGCCCCCCCCCAATCGAAAGCAAAGCAGCAAAAACAATAGCCTAAAGACAGAACAAACACAAATGGTCATCATTCTATGCCAAAAACAGCTTCACAAAACCTTGCGCTTTTAAGCCCATTCGCAGACATGTGTCAAAATGATCCCAAAAAGGGCTGGCTCTTCAGGGAAATGACAGTACATTTCCCCCCCGGCCAAAAAAAAACTGGGATCTGATGATATTCCCCAGTATAGATTCTACTTCGCCAACATGTGCATGGTAGTACCATCTACGATTCCAACACTTCACCATTACGAGACCCCCAACATGGTGCGCGCTGCCTCATCCAACACATGGTGTGTGCGACCATGGACTTTGTGAACCTGGAACTGGCCACCGGCGACGGGGCCCTAGGCCACCCAGGGCCCATGCGTACGTGTTGTCGGGCCAGATCTTGTACTTCTGTCCCCGGTATCTCTCAGAAGTGTACCTGTAAGCACGAGAAGTGAAGGGACCGACTGGAGTGACATGGAGTGACGACATGTGCCAACCAACTCGGTCCGATTCACCAACTCGCTTCGAAGAACTGCTGAACTCAACGTGGTCAGCGTGGTCCAGAGGCTGAAAGGACCGGCCATGCCCGCCTGTTACTCCCTGCATCGAGAACTGACTTGGCCTCTGGCCTCGTTTGTCAGGTGAGTTGCAATCGGATTTTTGGGAGCAAAACCGGTACACAAAATACACCAAGAGCAGACAGGAAGACTCCTGATGGGGAAAGGCTGGCATGACCAAAGATTAATGCTGCATCTCTGCCCACCAATTCAATCTGCAGCTCTTGTCACCCATGAGGGACCTGGGCACCTAGGACCCAGGGTCGCCTGACCAACGCCTGTGACCCTTGTGACCCTTGTGACCTGTTCTTTTTGGGAGTTGAACATGTATCTCAGTCTTATGTGTGTATATATATATATATATGTGTGTGTACATTCATATTGGATGTCTCGTTTTAAGGAGTGCTGTTGTGCTGGGTAAGCTGCCTTCATGCCCTTCCCAGCTAAGCTCTGCATCAAGCCACATGTCCACGTCTTCATCCTCATAGTCATCCTCCTCTACGTCATCCACCTCCACATCTACAACCTGCAAGGTAATCCCAGCTCCAAAAGCACCCGAAACGCACCAATGCCATCCGCGACCGATAGGAACCCCCCAACCGTGGCAAAACCCACCGGGCTGGCCACAAACCGGGCACAGAACACACACACCACGCCTCGGAGTCGTCGGCCTGACGGTCCAAAGCGGTTTCCCACTTCGGGAGAAACTGGGGGAGAACACCGTCCAGAGAAACATCAAATGAGAGTCATACCAAGTCCTGTTTCTCTCCTTTGAAAACCGGACACCATTTTTTTTGTGCCCAAAGACAGGTCCAGAAAAACACTGCGTTTCTTTCGGCGTCGTGGGGCTCGAGCTCGCCAGGCTTGAAGCTAGCTCTTCCAAATAGATCCAAATAGAAAGACATGTCTCAATCCAAAAGTACACTATAAAACCCATTGTAAGCCCTTTCTGTTCTGCAAGAAGACCTCCTTTGCGAATAGATGTGAGTGGTGTTTTTTCGCCAATGGACCTAAGACTCCTTCCAAACCCCCACCGCGCCTCCGCGCGGCGTGCAATCGCCCGGCTTCTCGCCTGGTTGACTATCCAGTCAGTTGGGCTTTGCCAAGACACCTACTCGACACAGCCCTGCACTCATCAGGCAGGGACCTCAGGATTTTGAGTAATATATAGACCCCTAAGTAGTTGACAATATCAAGACATTCAAGACTTGTTGGGCTCGGGTCAGCCTGTGGCAAAGCCGCCAATAGATCGTGCTCCATGTGTGAACATCGTAGAAAGCCCTGATGTGTCCAGTTCAAAAATGTTCAAAAAGCACCTCGTCCACCACCTCCCCCCAAACACCCCAAACCAGGCGCGTCTCACCCGTCCAACGCCCAAACTAGAACACTCACCTGCGAAGTGGCTTCGGTGAGTCAGTGAGTCGGAATCAAGGAAAAAGAAACGTCTCCAGAGTTCATTGTTCGGAAGAACCTGCTTTGCTGGTCGCTCCAGCTCCATGCGTCGGAAAGAAACCACATCGCTCCTTCAGGAGAAAAAGAAAACAAAAGGTACTCCCACAAGCGCGGTCTCAGGCCCCAAAGGTATGCAGGCCACACTCCCATGGCTCCTCCATTCGGTTCCGACCTTCCCATGGTGACGAGGTGACGGATGCGGCGATCGGCCCTGGGGTCCGCGCGTGGGGTGACAATGGCCGCGAGACGGAGGTAAAAGCACCTCGGCACGTGGTACTGAGTGAAATGCGCGAAAACGCCACAAGGGTATGAGCCCCCGGAATAATCCACATCACTTCTGGTGAAACGCCGGTGACGCCTACCCCAAGCATGAAATCAAATTGAACCCCTCAAGATGAGGTCCTCTTGGCTGAATGACCAAATGCTTTGGGCTCCTGGCTGAGCCATGGGGCCCCAAGGACCAAAGCCACCAGAGCCAAGACCCAGCGCGAGCTGCGCGAGAAGCGCACCTCAAAGGGTTCAGGTGAGTCACGGACCCTCCTTGAATCCGTGGAGGGCTTCTGGAGAAGGGCCCCCACAGACGTGGTGAGAGACCCCCTTTGGGGACGTCCATTGAGGGTAAAGGTGAGACAGACACGAATCGAACAGAAAAGCAGCTTTAAAGGGACGACCTACGTGCAAGTACATCTATAATGATGACTGATACTGTATCATAAACCAGCTTAACTTTACATGTTTGTGCGAACATGCAGCTCCTGGACTCAGTTGAATCGGCATTCATGGACCTTGCCCTAGACTCGGCAGTGAGTCAAGGCCCCGTTCCTGCTGTGAGCCACAGCAAAAGCTCCCTAAGGTGGGTGTTTAGTTTCCCACAAAGCACCAAGTCCAGGGTTTGTGTTCCATCAGTGGTAGCCTGCGCGGCGCCAGCCTCGGGATTGGGTGACATCATGGCCATGGTCACACCGGAAATCGGCTTGAGCCCGATTTCCTGGGCAGCCGAAAAGCAAATCCAATGTCATCAAAGAACTGAGAATCTTCAACACGAAAGGAGGAGAAAAAAAGAGAAGGTATATCACAGAATAGTAGTGGCTTTGCCCCAATAGGGCATATTGGACCACTTCAACTTCTACAATCAAGACCATGGGCGCAAGAAACTCTTCCACGGACCTTTTCTTTCTGAAGGCACTTCTCCAGCCACACTCAGTTGCCACCCACCAGGGACACATCTCCCGCTTGCTCGCGCAACTGGACAGAGCTCCGCTGGAAGCGAGTGAAGGGATGGAATTTGGGCAGGGCATGGCAGGGTGAGGAGTTGGGCGCAGGAGTTAGGTGGCACACTGTAGAGAACAACCGGTGTTCTATTGGCCCACCCCGTATGAGAATGCATCCCTGTGATGGTTTTTTGAAAGTGGCAGCAAACAGGTCCTCCCAACTGGCAAAACACACACGCCACCCATCCGAAACGCTTCTTTGGAAGCCGCCTTCCGTCCCTCCAAAGCAGCCCTCCACCTGACCACCCCTTGTGGCGCCTTCTTGGCCCAGAGCTCGCGCTCGGCCAACTTCTTCGGCACCTCGCGCGCGGCCTCGAACTCGGGCTCGCGCTCGTAGGGGAACTCCTCCAACCACGGGACGTCCAACCACGGGACGTCCGCGACCCGGTCGGAGGCGAACGAAGGGAGTGATGTTTGTGATGGATTTGACGGAGAGCAATCGGATTTCTCGGAGATGTCGGAGCACCGGGTGAGCCCCTTCTGCCCAGCATGCGTAATCTTCAACCCTCCTTAACCAAAGACTGCATCTGCTCCACAAGGATCTCCTCAGAGGACTTGAAGGCCCAGCCTCGGTAGGAGAAAAAAGAAAGAGAGAGAGAGAGAGACACAGAGATGTCCGAAGGGAAGAAAACAAACATCCTGTACATTCATGTGCCCTCTGTTGTGAAATCTGTCGTTGTCACAGGAATTCAGTAATCTCACATGAAGCACGTTCAGGGAACTCTGAAGACTACAGTAACCTGAACACAAAGAAATCCTCGTTACCCTCTTCAGCGAGCCATGAGTCTGGAGTCCTGGAGATCTGTCAACGCCTGCACTTTGCTGCCATGCTGCCATCAAAAGCATCAAACTTGGCCTCGCGACTTACACCAGGGGTTCAAAGATCTATTCAATGCATCTGTTTCCCAATTTTCCCCACTCAGCAAACCATCAGACTAAGACCACAAAATTGCGCGAGAAACCAGTAGCTTCTTCCTGCATCTAGGTCTTTCAACCCTCTGGCTTTCGCGGGAGGCTTTTCTGGGTAGACAACGGCAGAAGATCCAGTCATGTTGCCTGTGCTAGTGGACAAAACCTGCTATCACAATGTCTGCGATGAATTTGCACTTTGGTACACTTTCATCTAGTCTGAAGATCAATGCTTCAGGTGGATGAGGCGAGCGCACAAAGCCAACCAACTCCCACGGTTGCATTAAAAAGATCCCCAAGAAGCATCCACTGATCACCCCTTCAACCTTCATTCTTCCACCCAACCCGGCCTTGGTTCTCCGCCCACTCCCCACTCCCTCAGGCTCCCTTTCGGTCGCCTTGAGGTCAAAGAAGGCCTCCCTGGAGACGATGATCTTTCGGCCCAACAAGGCCTGGTGCAGCCCATCGCCCGCGGCATCGATGTCACCTCGGCATCGCGCATCGCTCGCATCGCTCGAGGCGGTCGGCGAAGAGGCGAGGCCGCGGCAACCCGTCGGCAAAGAGTAGAGGCACTGGATTCCATGCGGAAAAGCATGGAAAATTGATCCTTGAAAGTGGTGATTTCAAGCATATGTTCAGCGAAAGATCCATTTGGACGAATCCAAACCAATTGGTCAATGTGTGGACACATGTTTCTTTCGAAGTCACTTCCATCTACAGCTATTTCCTCTGGGACACTCGATCTCGTGCCGATAATGCAGGGACATAAATGTTAGTCACCTACGCGCTGCTTCGGGCAACGATAGATGAAACCTCATACAAGGAGCCCCAGTGGAACTATGAATCCCCTTGAAACGTATACTGGAAATCGTTTCTTCCTATGTGTGGAAAGCACTCAAAGACAATGTCACTAGGTGTTCAAACTCCAGCTGTCTTTCTGCGCTTGCAACCGGTTGAACAATCCGAACAAGGCGGACTTTAAGGATGCAAACAAGGCACGTGGTCGCCTCATGCTGAAGTTATCAATGAGCCGCCCAGCCATATAGATGGGGCTCCTGCATAAAAATAAGGGTCTCGAAAAAGTAACACGGAGGTTTTCTGGCAGCGAACAGTATGAAGTCCTCGGCATAAAGGAAGGAGGCGTTTGCTGACGTTTCCATCTTATGGACACGATGTAGTGGCATCGATGGACATAGGATGAACGCTGCGAAGTACAGAATCACAATACAGATGAGTGTATAATCATGTGTAATCTGAGACTCTAATTTTTGGATGATAATGCACAAAAGATTAGAATTGTTGGACACTGGTCAGACAAAACTTAATGGTGAACACATGCATAAAGCAAATTGCCCTTCAAATCAGGCTATACAATTCCTTAGGGCCTTAGAAACCGTTTGGTTTCTCCACTGTTCTTCCTTTCGCCCAGAAAACATCTCGCTCGAGCCGCTCCGGTAACTGAAGCGCATTGGGACGCAGCGCGTCTCGTGCTCCTGAAGGGCGAGCGAATTTAAAATGGTCTACCATGTGTTGGTCGACGGACCACAAAAAAAGTGACGCCCCCCCTTGCAAATGATGTTGTAGCAAAATGATCTGTGTTGATTCATGGACTCTTGTCAGCCACTGAAAGCCTCCCAAAACAAGGAACTGGTGACTGATTCGCTCCGCGGAAAAATCGGCGATGTGGGCTGTCTGAGCGGATCAGCCACTAAGCTGATTTTGTTTGGAATTCAGAACGTTGAGGGTTCTTGGACATTGCTTCATATATGGAAGCTGTGTGGATCATGCTGAAGAATTGCCGCTTTGCTTGCGCTTTTGGCAGCCCTGGAAGGGACCTTTGACTCTGGGACAGTAGAATGTCACCTATCTAGGACCGCACCCAACCTCGCCATAGCCGTTTCTGGAAATCATCAGCGTCTGCCTGCAACTTCTGGCTCACAGCTTTTGCTTGGTTTGGAATGCAGAGCTACAGACTCCAATCTACATCTGGAAAGATTGGAAAGGAAAAAAAGTAATCGAGTAATGTATGCAGAGTAAATGTCTGCGGGGTTGTCCGCAAGATCGTGAACAAATATGAGCATCCACGACTCAAGTCTGCCTACCCAATGCACACCAAAAAACACTGTGATGTGCGGACACATGAAGGTCACAATGAGGTACTGTTCCTTCCAAAATACATCGACCTCATCCAGGCAGAATGGCTTTCTCGCCCTGCAGGCAACTATTTCTCACACACATTGAAAGGAGTTTTCCAGAAAGCTCTGGGTTAGGTGAGCGACGCTTGGGGTCTTGCCCACACTCTGCAAGGCGGACACCGGGAGAACTAAGTTCACCACTGAAGCCCCCGGTTCGCGGGTCCCCTCGGCCGTTTCGGCCACCTGCGTGAGGGCCGACTTCAGGGCCTTGAGGGATTGCTCGGCACGGCGCTGGGCCGAGGCGAAGGGTAAGGAGGTGTCGGAGGTCCCCGTATCCAGCAGCAGCAGTGGTAGCGTCACTTCGGCCACATGACAGCGATCACAGTCCGCGAAGATCCGTTGGAGCGCACGGTGCAAGGAGGCAGGGAGCTCGTCCGCGGAGTGAGCGTCGGAAGGCACGAGCAAATGAAAGACCACCTGTAGTCGACCTCCAAGATTGGAATGCCTCGTACAAAAGTAGGATCCCGCACGAAAACCTGCCGAACACCACTCTTCTTTCTGCTTGATCGCTTCGAACTGCTTCTTCAGTGAAGGGAAATGAACATCAGTCACCTTTTGGCCTCGAGCGTCCAGGTCTCGCAGCATTGAAACTTGAATCGTGTCAAATTGGAGGTTCTCCGGGGTTGGGATGATCAAGCCCCTTAGTCGACTGGCGTAGGCATTGGGAGACAGGGGTAAACAAGGGATGTTGGGCTCGCGCCAGAATCGAAGTGACGCAGATTGTGAGACCTCCCGGCCCACCTCGGGGCCGGGCCTTGGTGCCCTGGGCTTGGCTGAGCCAAGGATGGGCTGCTGGTTTTGCCAGGTGCCAAAGGTGCTCATGTAGGAATCACATCTGTAGCTTTCAAGCCCTAAGAAGTCCCTGGGCAGTTGAGGCCCTGCCCCGTCCGCATCCGGCACCGCATCCCCCGTGGCCACCATCTCGGGCGCCTCACTGAGCTCCATCACGTCACCCACCCAAAGCCGCAAGATGAAAAAGGAGGTGCGCGCCGACGGACCACCGGAAACTCCGCCAAAGGTCGCGCGCACCTCCGAGATCTTCGTCACCTTCGTCTGGACGGTAGCGGAGGAGTCCCACGGGGGGTGGACTCGTTCCTTCCATGCAGCTGGATGTAGAGGGCAGGCCAAATAGTCTCCTTCCTGCTCTGGACACTGGAGCGGGTTCATCTCTTTCGCCTCAAGCATCTCTTGTTCAAAAAAATCCACCACCAAGTCTTGGTAGGAGGCTTCTTGCTTGGCCTTGAGTTGCTCAATCTCACTCTGCCAGTGCCGTTCCAAGGCATCAATCTCACTGACATGCTGTCCAACAAGCACTTGCACATCACCACCTACGGGACCTACTGCTTCCTCACAACCGACTGCTTCCTCTTCACTCTGCCTCAAACGTTCCATCTCCATTGCTTGACATCTCTGCAGCTCGGACACCGCCACGGCGCGGCCTTGGAAGAGTTCCCGGATCGCCCACAGGTAGGAGTCCTCCAAGGTTCCAATGGTCCGGAAGAACGAGGGCCGGTGCCGCAACAGGAAGTCGTAGGCACACCAAAAGGTCGCAGATTGATGGGAGAAGAACTGCAAGCCCCAGGAATGTTCATCTGGTGGAATAAATCCTTTCAGTTGCAACTGTCGCACATCTGCTCCAAACGGGGACGGAGCCCGTTCCTCAAAGGCTTCAGCCAGTCCAAAGGCCAGTCCACCAGGTCGCCCCGTTCCACCAATGGCTGCCTGGTTCGCGTCCGCCAAGGACTCACGGATGGCCAGGGCCACGTATTCCAAGGTGGGTCGGAAGAAACAGCTGGGCAGCTGCGCCTTTCGGAAGGTCTGTACGACTCGAGTATATGCATCCTCCCCTTCATTGATCTGAAGACTTACAATGAGTTGGTTGGAGCCAAGCCGATGGAACACACGCAGGGAGAGGTCTCGGGGCGAGTGCATGCCGCCATTGCAAGCCGGACGCGACCGCTACTGAGAAAAATGATCTGCTAGGCTGCTGGCTAGACTCTGTGTATATGAAGAAGACTGGATCTGCAACTAAATCTGCTTGCGTGCTGTCCACTCCACGCAACATATCCTTGCCATACAGTATCCTTGCTCTGGACAGCATAAGGCCCAAAGTTCGGACTTAAGCAAAGATCGAGTCATTGCGAACTTCCAAGGTCAACTGTCTTCTTTAGACTCTAGACGTTGAAGTGAACACCTGCAGTCTGGAGAAACCCATCCTTCCGATTGTTCTTCCAAGCATGTTGGGCCAAAAGATGTTGCAAAGACTGCAGTTTGCCTTCAACCGGTGTGGTTGCAAGGGCAAACACTCCAACATCCAACAAACCCAGTAGAGAATTGCAAAGATTGGAGGCCTGCTGCGTCAAACATGGTGAGTCTGAACCTCCCTTTGCGTCCCCACAAAAGAAAAGGAAAGAAACATAAAGAAGCATTCTTTTTGGAACACATGTGATTGATAGGGGACTTGTCAGGCCTTCAGATGGATGTCAGAAGTTCTTCATGTCCAACAGGAGGATGCTTCTTCCGAATTTCCAGAAGCCAGCCGGAGAAGTGAGAGCTCCTTGGATCCTTTGTTGGAAGTGCAACCTCCCATCAACAGGATGCTCCTGGGATCCCGATGGATCCTTGGATTCAGTGCACACCCCTTGGAAGTCGTCCTGAAGATCAACCTTGCTTCAGCTTCAGCTCTCGCACATCTCGCAGCTACACGAGCGCTCCGAGCGCTCCGTCTCGCCCCAGCCTGACTCCTGGTGTCTGGCCAGTCCAGGCCCGCAGCATATCACACAAGTCATAATAGCGCGGTTCCTCGATATCCTGCCGAAGAAAGAAATAACAGAAACCCAGAAGACCTAGACATACCTAGACCTTACTGACTGGATCATGGTTTTAATAAACATGGAATCATTGGATGTTGGCCTTCACCTGTCTGACTGCCTACAAAGTGGCGAATCGATCGGCGCAAGTTGGGAATTGGCAAATCAGCAGCTTTCATTGGCACTGAAACACCAATGGTCGAGGGCTCAAGAGATTACGTAGTGACTAGTGAGCGGCAATTGCATGTCTGCCTCTAAAACGTCTAAAGCCTTCAATTGAAGGGCCAAGTGAGAAAAAACGCATCACAGAATCACGCAGCCATCCTAGCCTTTAGCATAGCAAGTTGAGGTCATTGAGTCCCCAGGACTCCTTGAATTCCCCTGGCTGCCTTAGCTTCTGGCCGAAACCGTGCGTCAGTCACCACTGCCCCCAAAACCGTTCTCGTTCTTCCGCTCCACGACGTCCACGTGACGCTCCTCAAGGCCATCCACGATCTTCATACAGCGCCACTTGCTCTGCAGCACTGTGGAGATCGCTTTCATGTGAAATTTCCTAGCAAGAAAGAGCGCAGCAGGACTTGTACTTAGTACAAGTATACTGAAACAAGGGATTTTAAAGACAAAAGATTCCAAAAAAAAAAAGAGAGATAGAAGGGCAAACCTTACCTGAAAGAGAATGAGAATTCCGCTTCTATCCTGCTTGGACTTGGACAACGACTGACCATGTCTTCGCGCCTCTGCAGCTTCTTCTTTCGTCTATCGTCCAGTCCATGTTTGTTCTTGTTGGTCGCCGACTTCCCAAAGAGCGGGCTGTAACTTGGCAGGAGAGCTGAGTGTGTCCCGGAGTTATATATGTAGGTGGGGTGGGGGTACATCTCCGGTGTGGTTGCGTAGGACGGTTCTTTTTGACTCCCTCATGACATCACCAACTGCTCCGGTGGAAGCGTGCTCATCCGGGGGCACTGACATGGAACCCATACGGGCTTTTCCGACGCCCTTGTTCTTCCACAACTTCTTGCCTGACAAGAGCCATCCGAAAACGCGGATGATATTTGGAACCATTGGCTAGATGAGATGAAGTTTTGGAAGGATCGAGCATGAGGCATAGACGGACCGTTCTGTTCAACTAAAAACAGATCACTGGAACAATGATTCGCAGACCTCATATCGCTGCAACGTGCCTTTCTTCATATCGCTACGGCGTTTGAAGAAGGCTGTGAAGGGGAGCTGCTGGTACTTCCAAATGGTGTAGGCCTCACAAGACAGAAAACACGCATAAGACCCGCAACACAGACCCAAAACCCTGAGATTAGGATAGTGATCACTTTTTGACCAGCCGAGACCGACACCAATTACTAGTCAGACATGGTGCTGAAGCTCAGAAACGTGAAACTGTCATCTGTTGCTTACCCTTCGAGAAGCCAGCCCCCTTTTTCAAACGCTATGTGAAGGACTCACATTAGGTGAAGGGCTTAGGAAACAGACTTGCTTCAGTCTGTTGTTGACGCCAGCCCTTGAAATGACTGTTGCATAAAATGTAAGGAAAAATCATTCAGGTTCGGATGCTGCATCTGTCTTGTGCCTTTCCGAGAAAAATGCTTTAAAAGTTTAAGCTAGAGATGGGGGCAGCGCAGCACCGGACTTCACCAAGCTGGCTTGGTTCGGGCTCTCACCCAGGAATTCCACACGGCCGCTCTCCAGGTTGTAGATGCCGCCCTGGATCTCCACTTCGCCAGCTGCAACCTTCTCTCGGATCAGAGGGCTGTACTGCAGGAGGAAGTCAATCGTGTGGAAGACGTTCCTGCTTTTTTGAGACGAAAAAGCGAAACAGCTCAAGAACCCCTACAACCCCTATGCCTTGTTTCTCCCCTTGCTGCGAACGAGGCAACAACTCCATCTGCGCCAAGGCACAGCTTGATGGTTGTCGCCACGATCTCGGCCTCCGTGGCACTGGGGCCGAGCTTCTCAGAGGCCTTCTTGGCCACGTCGCTCAAGCCCACGAGGAGCGCATCCAGGGCTTTGGTCACCTGGGGAAGAGAAAAAAACAGCACAAAAACGGCTTGAACATGGCGTTTTGCAGCTATGCCATGCCATGCCCGCAGGGGCTTCTGAACTCGTCACGTTTCGTTTTGACCATCACCTGAGGCTTGTTGCCAGTCTTGGACGCCAAGTAGGTCGCGGTGGCACCCTTGATGGCACCACAGGCCGTGTGTCCAAGAACCATGACCATCTTGGTGTTCAGAGCGCCAAGGCAGAACTCCAAGCTGCCCACCATGCTGCCCTCGGAGTGGGTACAAGTGTTGCCAGCGTTGCGCAGCACAAAGATGTCACCCGGCATCGCATCAAACACTGTCTCCAAGGGCGCGCGAGAGTCCGCGCAGCCAATGATGGCGGTGTGGGGTGCCTGACCTTCCTTCACCAAGGCCTTCCTCATGTCGGAGCTGATCTTGCCCGAAATCGCGGCGCCCACCACGAAGCGGTCGTTTCCCTCCTTGAGCAGCTTCATCGCCTCCTTGGGCGGCATGGGGCCATCCGTAGTGGTCCGGATGGGCAAGGCCTGCAGGGAGGGCGGCAAGCTGGAGTCAGCGGCGAGCAATTGTGCCTGCTTGGGAGAACGTCCCATGAACTCCACTCGCCCGGTTTCCAGATGGTAGATGCCACCCTGAATCTCCAAGCTGCCACTCTTCACCAGATCCCGCAGAGGCTGGCTGTACTTGAGCAGGAAATCGATGGAAGTGAAGACGTTCACCTTCACCGAGTGGGAGATCAATCGATCAGCGTCAGCACCAACACCAAGCTCGTCTTCTGCCTGGTGAGCGACCTTGGAGAGACCAACCAAGAGCCCTTCCAATGCACTGCCGGCACTCTTGGAGGAACCCCCATCCTTGCTGGCCAAGTAAGTCTTAGTGGCACCAGCAATGGCTCCACACTGTGTATGGCCCAGGACCAAGATCAGCTTGGATCCCAACTTGCCACAGCAGAACTCAAGGCTGCCAACCATCGAGCCCTCTGCATGTGTGCACGTGTTGCCAGCATTGCGCAGCACAAACAAGTCTCCTGGCATGGCATCGAACACGGTGTCGACCGGCACACGGGAGTCAGCACAGCCCATGATGGCGGTGTGGGGTGCCTGCCCATGGCTCACCAGGGCCTCACGCATCTTGGAGGTGGCATGCTTCGCCAGTGGGGCACCCACTGCAAAGCGCTCGTTGCCCGCCTTGAGCAGCTTCAAGGCTTCTTCGGCCGGCACGGCGCTGTCCACAGTGGTGCGCACTCCATGTTCTCCCCGTGCGGAGGGGCCATAGCCGGCCGTGCGGCCACCCTCTCGGGTCATGGAGGGCGGAAGGCCCAAGTTGGAGCTCAAGAGTTCGGCCTGCTGTGGAGACCGGCCCATGAAGGCGACCTTGCCGGTGTCCAGGTGGTAGACGGCTCCCTGAATCTCAACCTGTCCACTCTTCACCTTCTCACGGATGGGAGCACTGTACTTCAGCAAGAAGTCGATGGTGTGAAAGACATTCACCTTCACAGCATGGGCAGCGATCTCTTCTGCATCAGTGTTGGCACCCATGTCGCTCATGGCTTTCTCTGCCACAGGAGCCAAGTCCAGCAAAAGACCCTCCAGGGCAGAGTTCACGGAGGTCACCTCATCCTTCTTGGCCTGCAAGTAGGCATTGGTTGCACCATAAACGGCACCGCATTTGGTGTGGCCCAAGACCAAGATCATGCGAGCACCCAACTTGCCAGTGCAGAATTCCAAGCTGCCCACCATCGAGCCCTCTGCATGGGTGCATGTGTTGCCTGCATTTCGCAACACGAAGAGGTCTCCTGGAAGGCTGTCGAAGACCGTCTCCAAAGGACAACGGGAATCGGCACAGCCAATGATGGCCGTGTGGGGTGCCTGTCCTTGGTCCACCAGCTGCTGGCGCATGGCTTCGTTGGTACGAGTGTTCTTGGGCGCGCCATTGATGAAGCGAGTGTTGCCTTCCTTCAGGAGCTTCAAGGCCTCCTCAGGAGCCATGGGGGCATCAGCGGCAGTGCGCACTTTGGCCATGGCGGAAGAAAGGGATGGGAAGGGATGAATTGGACCCCGCCGAGATGGATTGAAATGGCTGCAAACGACGCAACTGCTTGAAAATCATTTCAATCATCCGGAACACCTAAAAATAGCTTTTGCAAAAGCACGACACAGAAGAATAAGGACTGCAAGGCCTGGTGCACCACATAGTTCGCAGTCTGTTTGCTAAAGGTTTGGAACTGAAGCTCCTCTTCACCTGATCCGCCATCCACGAACAACGATGAGTCGGTTCACGGACGGAGGGAGCGGGGCTTTCGAAAGCCCTACAAAGTTCACTGCCTGAACCACGTTGTTTGGGTGGAATCTACCCTGATACTTCAAAATGCACTCGACATCATCCCACCAGAACAGCACAAAGAGGAAAGGACTATATACAGTAGATAAGATAGTCATTGAATGAGTCATGGCAATGCCATGCTCCATGCAAACACCTTGGATGTACCTGATGCATCTGTGGACTTTCTGTCAAAGTCAGCTCGCTGGGACCACCCGGCCAATCTTTTTCCCTGAGAGGTCAACGACCTGAGTACTTCGGACCAAATCGGGCGGAAAGCCGGCAGTAACAAGCGCGTGGAAAAGATCAATGTAAAGTCGCAAGTTTGCTCATTGGATTGGTGGATCTAGTGATTCCTCATTGGCATTGACGGCATGGCATAGCAGGTGTGTCCTCTGGCCGAGTCGTCTGGCCATTCAACCATCTCGTTATCAGATTACGTTTCCAAGCGCAAACATGCTCGATCCAAGTGGCTGGAATCACATGAGGGTTTGGAATCGCTCTGCACACGGATCGTTGAGCCTGCGGCCAAATCAACGAACCCCAAGCAATCCGCCACTGTCTACATTCAGCGTTTGCGCCTATGCATATGTCGTTTCACACCTAAGCCCATGATATACAAGCATCATCAAGCATCCAGAATTGGCCACAAGAAGACATGCTGAACGTTACGGAACCACTGGTTAGGCCACAACGAGCCCAGCAACTCTGTTCTTGACCAAATGCTGGTAGCCACGAGCTCAGCCTGAATCCCAATAAGACATCACTCCCCCCTTGCAACGTCCGAACCCACCACGCCGCAGGCCACCAGCGCTGGCCCGCGCGCCTTCCCGGCCACCAGCGCCAGCGCTGCCACACAAAGCACCGCAGGGCCGACGGTGGCACCGAAGGGATTCGTGGGCCGCACGTCGCTCAGAAGTGCTGATCCCCTGAGTACCGGCACGAAGAGTAGCAGGGACCCTGAGGACCATGTTCCCCTACAGCCCAGTAGTCCTGGGGTTCCATGTTGATCTGCAGGGGAGTAGTGGGCACAGTGGTTTGCGCCTTCTTGTGTATATATATATATATATGTATATATGTATATGTATACATCGATTTTGCAACACACAGCCATCGGCCCCACATCAACGCCACCACGGCATGGTCAAAATTGAACAACCATCTGATTGACATGAGCTATGGGGTTAGGCAGTGGAGCACGGGTGAAACGGAACATTGTTATCATCAAACTGACGTTGACTATTCCTTGTTATCAATCTTCGTTCTCAACTTGTCATCTTCAGTTGTTGCCAGCTGCAGCACTGGAGCCAGGTGTAGTATTCTGATACCGTTTCCTGAAATGAAATTGAGGTTCAATGTTGACAAGCAGATGCTGTTTCCCATAGGTCCATAGGTGAGTCAGCTCAGTGCTGAGTGGACAACACTCGGAGTTGCCTTCGAGCCGGTGTCTGGATCTCCCCTTCACCGGCAGAGTTGTCATCACCCTTTGACTCCTGCACTGTCCGCGCAGTCCAAGCCGTCCTTGCGCTCTCCGTGCCTCCCAAGCTCTGGTGCGGTGCCCAGAACACGTGGCCCGGTCAGTGGGCCTTGGCCAACATGCCCCGCTTGAGCTCAGTGACCTGTGCAGCCTTGTAGCCTTCGAAGACTCATGAAGCCAAAGGAGATTGAAATCGTAGAGTTCTGGATCTTCTTGGGTGGCAGAACGACTTTTATAAAGAGGCTTCACAACACGCTACCCCAATATATCATACCACACATGGTGCCAGCAGCTCAGTCAACACACTTTGATCAGTTCAGCTAAGTGTTCCACTTACAAACTGCAGCGAGCCAGAGCCAACCAAGACGGCCTCAGCTCACGCACAGCGAGGCGCCCTTGTCTACTCGCCAAGATCCGTGTACATTCTGAGTGGGATCGCATCTAGAGCCTAGCACTGACCAAATAAAGTGTGGAATGGGTACTCACGCTCGCCTGGGATTGGATTAAAGCTTGCGTTTGAGAAACAACCATGGAGGGTCATCTCATGCAGCCCCCGCGCTTCTTGACGCAGCAAACTCCTCTGATCAACGTTCAAGGTGCCCATGTGACACTCGTGAGCTGGGATGAACGTGCTTTCCCCAGCAAAACCATCCTCACCAGGCATCCCTGGCTGCCAGCGCTAGAACCGGAGCCAGCCACCTGTGCTTTCCGAGTGAAACAGCAGTCGGTCTGAAGAAAAGGGCTAGCTCGTTACCTCGCAAAACAAGACCTAATGGCTGCATCCAGGCCCTCAGATGGCAAAAAGAGAATAACTCCTGCAGTGGATCTATGTTAATCTGCAGGAGGATAAACAGTTCCTAGGCATGTGGTTCTCCTAGCCATGCTGGAAGCGTGTGGAAGGCCATGTCAGTCTTGAAGGCCATGAGCCATATGGAACCTTCCAAGAGTCAAAGGGTGTCCTTTGAGTTATGAAAGGATATGAAAGGGCTCACACCATTGCCAGTGCAGCAAAACCTCGACAATCCTCGGCCACGGACGCGAGAGAGTTCGCTCTCCGTACACGTGCGCGCTTGGTGTCCAAACTTTGACTTGGCCATTACAGCACGATCCCTGGCGGAAGCTTGGTGACAGTGACATGCGGCAACGGACAAGCTCGACTGCTGCAACGCCAAAACCTCCAAAAAGAGAAAAAGCAGTCCAATGGAATCCATAGGCCAACATGTCGCTTGCAACCAGTACACACGTCTCTAGGCCCTTCTGATATCTGTATGCTGCTCTTTGTGCCTGCCTGAGGGCCCTCCCAACATCGACAGGGGGCAGTGCTTTGGACATCATTTGAGCCAAGACAGAGGTGATTCGCTTGCACGGGGGGGTGGACATAGACCGTCCAAGACCATCTCACCTGAGACACCCTGACATGGCTCTGAATAACTTCGATACGCTAAATATCCAAAGCCCTTTACTGAATGGTCTACTAACCACCACGGCTTTCTTTCTGACCAAGCCAGGCTTTCAGCACCAAAACAGGACGAGTCTTCTATCGGTCTGTCCAAATCTTTCCAACAACTTCCCAGCACCTTTTCACTTGCTGCACGGGGGCGAGAGTCACCCAGTTGTTCACACGACGGTGGGGAATCCATCAGAGGCAAACTTGCAATGGGTGCCGTTCCTGTGCACAGAATCAAGACACAGCATGAAAATCCTGGTAGCCCCTCTACCTGCAGGTTTCAGCAAAGGCCACTGATGCTTGGCCCTCTACAGGTTGCTAAGAACCAGGTTTGCAACCCCCCAACGGATACCTCCCTTTTCTACACCGAAATCGGCCAGCAATGCTGGCGCCAGGTGAAACATGGAGCGGCAGGCCGGATGTGGGGCTCTCTGGTGTTATTGGAAAATAGTCAAAGTCCAACACGTGGATATATACAATAAAAATATATATATATATATAATTGAGACAACAGAATCGGGAACATCCCAAATGAATCACCCCCATAGATTGGAAAGCACAACCACAAGCTCTTGACTCACTCGGGCACCGGTCCAAATCTCTCTCATATCGACATACATGTTGTCTTGGAAGCTTAGCTGGCTCAGCTCAAGTAAGTTACAATCCTGCTGAGATCCCTTCCTGGCGCTAGTCCATTCCATAAAAGCTAATTCGCCAGCTCTGGCTCTTTCTCTCAGTCAAGAGCCAATCGCAACACCTGTGGTTTTCAGTATGTCGAGACCTTGACAGTTTCAAGGTGATTGACAACACTGAAAGAAAGCCCATGACCTGACCTGGAAGAGTTGAAGAAATGAAACTCATTGAGGGTTGGCGACGCCACGATCTCCAAGTCTAAAATTGGTTTCTCTGGAGATCTTCCTGTTTCCATTTCCTGTGGTCAATGAGTCGGCTCCCGAAATGGCGCCCTGCAGAAGAAGAACAGCATGGCGAACCTAAACAAACACACGTTGTTTTCGCTTCACATACAAAACTGGTCACAAATGGTCACAAATGGTCACCTCCCATCTCCACCGTTCAGTTCGCGCTGCTCCACCGGAACCTTCATGCAGGTGGCGAAGTGCTCACGGCCTTGTCGGTCGGGGAACCTCAGCACCGGTGCGGAGCGGAGCGGAGAGGAGAGGAGCGGAGCGGGGCGCCCGGCTTGAAGGAGACACATCGGTCATCCGCCATGACCAAGGTCACACAATGGTCATCCAAAGGTGTGGTGACCTGAACAAAGCAGGACTCCAAACAACTCACAGAGGATTCTGAAAGGTTGGCGACAGATGCTCAGAATCTCTGCGATGCTTCCTCTCGACGTGTAAGGCACGTGGACGGCGACTTTCGGTGCTTCCTTTGTTTGTGAGCTTGACTGATTGAACTGGCAGAAATACCCCCAAAGTCCTGCAGCTGGCAGATTCTCCCCAGTTTGGATTGCCATTGTGGTTAGTGTGTTTGGCTTGCCGCCCTATGGCATGTTCATGTGTTCGTGTGAGACGCTTTTGCTGGGGATCACGTCATTGACTGAATGATTGATCCGCACCTGCAGGTCCTTGAGCTCCTTTCCAGAGCAAATCTCCTCAGACCCACTAGGCGTGCAATGCAGTCGTTTGGAGCAACCCTTCGTTTTGCCCGCTCTTACTTTGTTAAGTAGGCGCCTACTTAATTGAGTAAGGGAGTAGTTTGCTGCTGTACCAGCTACTTGAGCTACTGCATATGGACGCAGGATAGCTCAAACAAATTACACAACTGTTCTTGAAGCCAAACTGTAGCAAGGGCAGCAGCACCATTCCTTGCACCAACAAGGAGTAACCCTGAGACCAATATTCAAACCAACACACGGCCAGTTTCTCGTCAACCGGTCAGCTGCTCTCCTGGATGCTGGTCAAATCCACTGTCCGTGTCGTGGCATGCACCTGGAGTAAAAATGCGTTCCTCTTGATTCGCTCAGAGGATGGAAAGAGAATCCCAACTTTGGCCAAGAGAACTGGACCACGAGTCCACGAGTCTGCAACGTGGCTGTTTCGTGACGCGGACCAAAAAAACTCTTTTTACAAGCACAAGACCTGCAACATGAGCACTGAGAGCTTGCTGTCCATGACACATCTGCAGGGGACCTTAGTCACTGAGAGGTTCACTGGAAGAAATGCTGGGTGTTTCCCTTTCAAAAGGCTCATTCAACACGTCACGAAAACCAACAAATAGCAGCGTAGAAATCTATCACCGAAGCTCAACCTTCTGCGTTCATCTTGAAAGGTGGCATGCCGGCCTATTATTGCAAGTTTGATCCATTCAGTTCAACCTTCTTCCCACTCAGGAGTGAAACCTTGTGGTTGCGTGCCTTAAAAACTTCAGATTTGGCCTTTAGATTGATTTGCTCAAGCCATCGGCGCTTTCCCAAAATTCCAGGGAATCCCACCATGTCCGATCCCTCTCAAGAACCCGACCACAGAGCCATCTTCCAGCACGGCATCTAAGAAAACGCCCTCAGACGCTGTCGGTCGACCCGAAAAGCACTGCGCCGTCGGCGATGCATCGAATAGGCCAATGCCCATGTTCTGTCCTCACCAGCTTGAGCCCGCTCCAAACACATTGGCCTGCAAGAACTCCATGACAAAGTCCCGGATCATGTGCTGAAGCTTGGTCATCTCCCTGGCCTCGCCAGTTCGTGTGTGGAAAAGCAGAGAGAAGAAGAGACTCATCTATGGCCATCTCACCACCTTCTGAGAACCTGATTCGAAACCTGGTACTCTTCTTGGACCTTGGAAGGTGTTGCCCTCTGAGAAACGTGACAGAGTCGGAGAACGAAAACAGGAATCATTTGGGAGCCCAGAGCGAGCAGAACCAATGATGAATACAAAGGAAGTCCTCCAAGTGAGTCCAGAATCATTCGCTTCATCTTCATATATAGGAATCATTCGCAAAGTTGAACGAGAACTGACTATTGAGAGAACCTTTTCTTCTTGAGGCGCCTTTTGCTCCTCGCTGAGACTGATATATCCAGCTCCTGACCCGTGGAGGAGTTGGCACACTCCCAAGTCACCAACACATCATATCAAATGCCACCTGCAGAAGCTGTGCTTTGCCTTCGAGAACGCTTTTCAGTGTCAAGGATCAAGCAATTGTGTGCCTAGTCCTACAAAGATTGGCTTTGTCCTACCAAAATTCTGGCTCAACTGGAGGGATCTGCTCATGTGTGGCAAAAGGCAGGACTTCATGACTTCATGCAGCCTGGAGAGGCATTGGAGTCCACACTGCGAATGCTGAAATCAGGCGGCACTTGTAGCGCCTTGCGCTCACCCTTGGCAGCGGCAGGCAGGTGAAAATCTACCCGCGCCAACTACGGCTAGAACCAGAAAGGAAAGACTGGGCAAGACCAACAGGTCCAACCCCTGACCTCAACCGCAGCACATCTGCGGACATTCCAACCAGTGGTGCGGTGACTGCAGTCGATGGTATCTGCTCCCACATCTTGGCCGTCGGTGTCCGCGCTTGGTCAATACTGGGACTCCACACGGCAGGAGGAAACTCCATGGGAGTCGCCGTGTGGAAGACCTGGCACGAGCCCCGGCGTAGCTCGCGGCATAGCCCGGGGTGGGACGTCCCCGGTGGGACGTCCCCGGTCAAGTTTGTCAGAACATCTCCGTCTTTCGACGTCCTGTTTGTCAACCTGGTGAAAACTGGAGGAGGAGAAGTTCGAAGCAACGAGAAATCATTCTACAATCCACTGGCAAATCCAGTCCGACAACCGCTTGCCAAGCCCTGTGAACCGCTCCTGTTCATGGCCATCCTCTGGCTGAATGCAGCAGCACCTGCAGAAAAGGAATCGAAGGAAAACAACATCGTAACTCGCACCCCGTAAATCTCATTTGCTGGCCCCTTGATCTCGATGATTTTTCCTGGATCCCCAAGACGCCCAGGCCACTGGGTGGCCCGCCTGCCGAACATGGCACGCATCAAGTTCTGCCCAGTAAGGTCGAATGGATGCAGGATGCAGGTGACCAGAGAGGACAAAAGAGTCCTGACTTCAAACTACAAAAAGATATGAAAGGTGCGAATCTAGTCTTTTTCCTTTGAGGAATGCTCCATAAATCCATTGTGTATTACCTGTCTCTGGGACTCTGAGGGTGTTTGTAAGGTCGTGCACGCCAAATGAAGCCCATCAGTCTTCAGCTACGTTTGTCTAGCTCGCTCTTCCATCTATGTGATGTGTTCAGTTCCAAACTTGTAAAAGCGCTGACGTCTGATCTCAGTGGTTTTGGCTCACGAATGGCATTTTCCTTTGTGCCACTCGTTTGAACCAGCTTGGCCGAAGCGGAAAAAAAGTGTGTTTGCATCCGTGAAGAGGGAGAAATGACTGAATCTCCCAGTAGGACTAAACACCAAAAGCCGTTGAGAGGTATCCTTTGATTCCACCTTGGAGCACACCCCCACGGGTTAGAGCCGGATTCGGAAACTAATCGGTCGGATTCTGAAACTAGGGTTCTGAAACTGGGGTTCTGAAACTAGGGTTCTGAAACTTGGATTCTGAAACGGGTATTCTGAAACTGGGGTTCTGAAACTAGGATTCTGAAACTGAGGTTCTGAAACTGGGGTTCTGAAACTTGTATTCTGAAACTGGAAAGTCAGATTCTGCAACTGGTATTCTGAAACTGGAAAGTCAGATTCTGCAACTTGCCTTCTGAAACTTGCAACTGGTGATCTCCACATCATGCGATAGCGTGTGTGCCTGTGACATCACCTTCGAAGCACATCCAAACCAACGTCATTAGCCCCCCACCCAACCCCCCGACCCCCAACCCCCCCTTGTCCCCATCGTGTGACCTCGACATCCCTCATCATTCACAAAGTTGCGGAATCCTAGTGAGGGAGTCCACAATGTTGTGGAATCCTAGTTGCGGAACGCCAGTTGCGGAATCCCAGTTGCAGAATCCTAGTTGCGGAATCCTAGTTGCGGAATCTTGACAGTTGCGGAATCCTAGTTTCGGAATCCTAGTTGCGGAATCATAGTTGCGGAATTCTAGTTGCAGAATCCTAGTTGCGGAATCCTAGTTTCGGAATCCCAGTTGCGGAATCCGGCCAAACAGTTGCGGAATCCTAGTTGCGGAATCCTGCGCAGTTGCGGAACTCGACTTTATCCCACCCCCACGGCTCGCAGTGCTCCATTTCTCGCAGACATCAGGGAAGTGGCCCAACTGGAAACCTGTACCGCGAAGCAAAACCAAGTTGGAGTCCTGACAACACCACACATGTTCCCAATCACTCACGATCTCTATTATCTCTATCAAGCAAAGCTGCCTAGTTGGCCTCCAACTTGGTCGAGTGATTCCAAAGCCGTGTGCTTTACGGGAAAATTGGCAACGTCGTGTTGCCAAATTGGCAATTAAACTATAACATGTGGCAAACGGATGGGATTCCAGCCTGCACTCCCTTTACTTCGACCAAAACATGTCCGACAGTTTGATGTTGAGGGGCCGAGAAATGGAATTTACCTTGCGTTCGGCTAGTGGACTTGAACTCCCTTCTTCGGCTTGTTAGGCCAAGCGCAATCTGCCCACGTGGCGCTCAGAAGTAGATCTGCCAAGACAGCAAAGAAGCGACCAAGACCACACGTTTTGTGTGGAAAAGAAATGACTCACTCTGACTTGGTCGTCGTTCACATTCCCACCTTTTAAAGCTCATTCTGACTCCAAGTCTCATGCGACTCCCCTGGCCGAGCCCACCTTGCCACCTTTCTTGGGATCGCCCGTCCTCAGGTCCGAAGCACCCGATCGGTCCAAAGGGGTCGAGATCCGGGCCCCGGGCTTGTTCGCACCGATCCCGAAGAAGATGCTCTTGCGAGGTCCACCTCCCAGGAGGGCCTGCAGAAAGGCGAGGAGGCAGGAGACACGAGATGACACGAGGTCAATGAATTGGACCAGGGGCCCCACGGGTCAAAGTCAAGAGCATTTGGACTTGCTTCTGTTCCCTCTCGTGAATCCTTGCTAAGTGTCGTACTTGATCAATAAGAAGGTCAAAATACAGTATATAAGTTATATAAGGTCTCAAAAACAGAAGTGCCTGTTGGCGGATCTCCCCCATCTGCACAGCGCGATCTGCAACCTCCTTCCAGGATTCTGTAGATTTTTGACATGCTGTTGGTAAGGTTCATCCACGACCAGGACATGATTCCTGACTGTGACTAAGTCCTTCATGCCTGTGAGTGAACACAGCACTTGTGTCTGTGGGCCGCACCTCCGGGGTGGACTTACCGTCAAAGTAATGGTGGACAATCGGCACCTCAAAATCACAGCGATTGCGCGCGGGACTGGCTCCATCCTTCCAAACGTCGACAATCTCAGGACTAAAAGCCAATTCCAACACGTACAGTCCGCCAGACCCAGCAACATCTCTCACACTCTTGATCCACGGCACGTTCGCTGTGAGCGCCACAGTCTGAAATCCACGCAACAACTCGGGATAATCCTGGCAGCAACAATTGAACGATTCTTCAAGCTCCTTCAGAAGCAGCCATGGAACAGCTGATAGCTGATAGTCCTATTCCTCATTCACTGAGGAAAGCACTTGTTTTCTCTCTTCCTCTCTCTCTCAACAGCCCGCCCACCCAGCCCGCTCCGGATCGGTCTTGTCTTCAATGCTATGGATAGCTACGATCACGTCCACAGTGTTGGACCTGAATATGCAGCAAATGAAGTCTCTCAGCAGTGCTGCCTCCCAAAAAATTGAGCAAGCACCCTTCAGAAGAACTAACCAAAAGGCTGTGACCTTCTCGGCACCGAGTCACGAGTCACGAACGAGTCTCAAAAAAGAGAGATGTGAGATGTGCATGATTTGAATCGATTTGGGGAAGACCCCGTCACTCAAAGCAAATGCTCATGGAGATGACCCCCTGGCAAACACTGAGATGCCCTCGCATCGCCAGCAGCTTCGCTGCCAGCGGGAGCTGAAACGAATCAGGCACCTGTCCCAGAGCATCCCGGTGTATCATTGAAAGCTGGAAGAACAGCTCTATGCGAAGAATGCACTGTCTTCCGCAAAACAGAATTGACCAAATGCAATGGAACTGTGCTGGGACCTGTGTCTGGAAGTACGTCTCATTGGTGACATTCAACCTGGCTGCGCACAGGAGGTGGGTGCCAAGAAAGTTGGGAGTTGGCTGCAGCGTTCCTGTTGTCATGCCACTCTAGAGTTGGGCAAGCCAATGGATAGTAAATGATAGTCGGTAGCTCTTTTTGGCAGACCTTGTGCTTTCACAAACATCTAGAAGAGCCTTTAATTGCGTGTCTTTGGCAGTCTATCGCTGTTCGCACAACCCTTCCTCCGACTACGGAAGTCTCTTTATTTGTTCAAAGGAAAGCAAGAATTAACAGCATACTACTAGCTCAGCTGTACATGGGTGGTTCACAGTCGTCTATGTGGCTAGCTTGGCTCGCCTTAGCGATGCAAAACATCCTCTCTATCCGATTCGTCCAAAAGTGCCATGGCTCCAAGAACTCGTGCCACGCGCACGCTTCGAATGCTTGGCTCCATTCCTGACACAGGTTTTTGCTTCATGACCAAGAGCTCACATCTCGCTTGAAGCTGGCTGCAATTATGTTTCACAAGTGAGATGTTTCACAGCCACTTCAAGTGATGTGAGAATCATCGCTTGAAGTCTCCCTCTTCCAAAGCACGATGTCCAGGTGCACCTCTTTGATGTCTACGCAATGAATGAGACCCACACGCACCTTAGAGATGCTGCATCAACCTGCTAACCTGGCAAAGACTGGCCTTGCTCTTGGTTTCTGCTATATAGAAACAAACCAAACATTTCGAAGCGGCTGGTCTTGTCAAGAACAACTGATCAACTGATCCTACGAATCAACCCCTCTGACCCCATCTCTCCTCTGACACCTGATCTTGATGGACTCAACACCTGGGCCACCATGCCCCGGCCGCTGTCTCCTCAGCTTGAGTGGCCCGCATAGCCAGGTGGGAAGAACGCGGCCTTGCGACAAAATGCAAAAAATGCACCAAGACGAAAACAAAAGCCGCAAAGCATACACCAAATGCATCCAAAGAGCCTTGGGTTCAAACCTGCTAGTGGTGAACCTGCGCCAGGGCCAAGGAGCCAAGGAGCCAAGGAACCAAGGTGGGAGGGATTCTGATCTTGGGAGAAAGGGGGCACGTCGCAAATCCCGATTTTGTCGAGTTTTAAAACATAGTTTGCGTTTTTTGGGAAATTTTGATCTTCAAGATCAGTGCTGAGTCATCCAGCTTCATTGTGGGGTTCCTGATAATTGTTTAGCAGCAACTGGCGCCTGCTCCTCGAGCACTTCTGAGAGGTGCCACGAACGTCCTGCGAGGGATGTTGGGCAACGTGAATATGTTGCAAGGTACAACAAACTCAACTTACGGGACTGCTCTGGAAGACTGGTTCCATCACGGAAGCTGTTCGCTTAATTCATAATCAAGTCAAGGAAGTATGTTCCGACATAATGTTCACAATTAACACCGCATGTACTGTTGTTTCAAATCTTGAAAACGGTTGACTACCAGGACGACGCATGCCAATTGTCACCACCTGTTATTCTGATAAAAATAATAGCACTCCTCGTTTCTACGGTTTGGTGTGAGGATCTAATCAATTCATAATGAGGAATTTCTCTCAACAACCTGCCTGCAAAGGCACAAGCCTCAGTATTGCATTTAAGAGCCGCCACGAACATCAGATCCAAAACAATCCAATTTAAAGTACATTTACAAGCAAAAAACAAAGGGAAGAACCCAGCAGCACTGAAGCTGCCAATGTTCGCCCAGGACATCGCACCTGCCCAAACTTTAAGAGTATGATGTCAAAACATTTGTCCAAAAAATGCGCCCTAATATCAGTTTGTGGTTGCATCTAGCGCTAAATAACTTGCAAATTTCCTGTGATGAAAACGAATCATGACAATCATGACAATGATCGGCCCACCTTCATGGCGCCCACCACAGCGCTGCGCAACACGCTGAAGCGGAAAGCTTGAAAACAGGATGGTTGGCGAAGCTTCGGACGGCCCTCACCCCGTAACAGTGACCTTTTCCGCTCATGGTTCTAATACTTCAAAAAGGAACACATATACTGTATGCCAAGCGTATTGTACATGCATCAGCAAATGTTGAATGGAATGAACACTCGTGTTCCACCAACAGTGGGATTGAAACCTTCTGCACAAAACAACCACAGCCACACCATCCAAAGAGTGATATGCACCCAATTGAATAATCAGTGGGAATCGCTGGTGCAAACCCTCGTGCGACAAAGGTCGCAAGTGTTGGCAAACTCACAAGAGCTGATCAGAAAACAAACCCAAACAAAACTCCCAACAGCTGGGCATGTTGCTTTGAACACGCGGTTCTTTTAATGCACCATGCAAGCATCGGCATCACCTGGCGAAATGTGTGCCCACACAGGCGCAAGCGCGACAGCGATGCAACAAGCAAGAACTTACTGCGGAACCTGCCCTCGGGGTTTGCCAGCACATCAACGTAACAACATGACCCGCATCAGCATCCGCAAAAGTCGGTGCGAAAACTCATCCAAAACTTGCACCGGAATCCAGGAATTCCTCCGAAACCCTTCTGGGCCCCGGAACCTTTGTAGTTTCTCTAGGTCGTTCATAATTCAACTTCGGTGCACAAGCCGTGACCCACAACCCTCCCCAAGTTCGACCTAGAAACGCTCAGTCACTCAAACCGGTGCATCCCAATGGTTGCCTTCTCGACCTCTATCCGCCAGAGAGTTAGTGGTGGGAGAACCAACCCAAGTGTTGGATCTGTGTCCGCACCACACAGTCCATATTTCTTGGAATGTCGGTGGCTCCTGCGTCCAAGACGTCATCACACACCGCAAAGCCATCGGTGTGTGTGTGTGTGTGTCTGACTGTCGTCTATCGCGTTGAATCATCAAGGCTCACGAAGTACACCGGATACAGTTCCTACAGACATGGAAAGCGTTGTTTGTCTGCACCTTCACCGTTCTAGAGATACTCAATGTTCTAGTATACGTGTAAAGCCCCACTCCGAAACTCATCTGCTCTCTTTTCATTGCCAATCGGTTTTCGAGTGGGTTGGGATGACATTTCACCGTGGGCTTGCGGTTGGGATGATGTTTATCATCCTCTTGAACTTGTGGTTGTGATCCGTTTCGTGTTGGATCGCAATCCTGATCCTTTGGATCACAGCGTGGCATAGCTAAGGTTGTCGGAGAGAAGCAAGTACTAGGGTGTGGAGGGTGGGGCTGAACATTGATGTATCTTAGAACCAAAATGGCCCAACGAACATAAGTATCACAAAACATTTCGTGAAGGGTCACTACAGACGTTTTAGAGATACTCAATGTTCTAGTATACGTGTAAAGCCGCACTCCGAAACTCATCTGCTCTCTTTTCACTGCCAGTCGGTTTTCGAGTGGGTTGGGATGACATTTCACCAAACAGCTTTCCAACAACACTCGGAAATATATAACCAAACAGCTCTGAGTGTTGGCAGAGAAAAGAGTCTAGTTGGACCGAAGTGTCCACTTGAGCGGGAATCGGTCCGGATACAGCCGCGGGGCCGTGTGAGACCGAAAGAAGCTCGAAAGGCTCATGCGTCGCCTATGAGCCGGTGCAAACTTGGTGGGAAGGTCACTAATGAAATCCCATCGGCTCAACAAGTCAGCATCTACGTTAAGGGGTCCTGGAATATGTGAAACGTCGCAAGCCAATCGTTCTGACACCAAGATGTAAGCGAGGTGTTCTACAAAATAGCAGAGTGGGGTGGATGCGGTGAATAACTTGTAAACTGAAGTTTCCGCACCGGCGTTGTCGCTTTAAGCTCTGGAAGTGGAGAGGTACGCAAACAGTGGGACATACTGCAAGGCACAGCAAGATCAAGAAACCTTGCGCTAATGAAATGTTTCGTAGCAAGCTATGTCCCGTTGTGCGTCCGGCCGGACGGGGACATCGAAAGGTTTGAGATCAACAACTTTCCAACTTTCAGAAAACCACAAGACAAGATCATTGATTTCGATGAGACCACTCACTTGGAATGAATCTCCCTGCGCTGAGGCATCAGCTGAAGCTCGAATATTTACCTGAAACGGCGGGCGCATGCTGCGCAGAGGGGGTGACAACTTGAGCCAATCAATCCACAACTTCAGCACTCTTCTGCTGTGGACTGAAAGCTTTCGGTGTTGTGACTTGGGGTTGATAATGCGAAGCCACAAACGACGTTTTTTGCACGAGTGGAGGCGCTGTGTGTGCAGGTTCTGCACAAGTCACCTTAGTCGAGTTAAGATGGAGCTACAAACCAGGTTGCAACCAACAGGAAGAGACCCAACAACAAAAACACCAAGCCAACAAAAAAACAAACCCCCAAAAACAAAACACGCAAAACGCAGGGGCAACCTGAAAAGTAGCTCGTAAGGCCATGGAGGCATGAAGCTAGGTGAAACAGGGGCGATGAATTCAGAAGTGCACTCAGTAGTTCTTGTCCATCAACGAACTGCAATGAAGATGCGAAGCCACAAACGACGGTCGGTGAGACGGACCGATTCCACTTCCTGCAAGGTCTGAACCGGGGTACGGCGAACTGAAATGAGTTTAGATTGAGGTGGAATGGCTGTCCCTTGTGGAGTACACAAGAAGCTGAGGTCGTCTGCAAGGCAAGATTTGACCAAGGTCAAACAACCGGGGTTGACACTGTAGTGTGTGGCAGGGCAACTGTGCAATAGGGCTCGGAAGGGCGGGAAAAGGTGTGTGACCCAAAGGGCCAGGCCTGTGAATTTGTCCAGTTGCTTGCTGGTGCACTGGCGATGTTTGAGCAATTCTTCAATTTGCGCAATCAGTTTGTCTTGTTTTGCAGGATGAAGGCTCACAATGCCGTTGTGGAAATTGAATCTCCATCCGATCCAATCGACCATTGGTCCCAGTGTACATTCACGCCAACTTAGAGGGATGCGAAAAACACGACAGAAAATCGCTAACACGGTGGCGAACACAGAAAGGACTGTTTGAGATTGTGTGAGCAAGAAATCGTCCACAAACAGCCAAAGGCCGTGTTGAACCCAAATGAGTCATGTAAGGTGCGAACGAGCCATGCACCCAATCTACCCCACCAGAATGCACTAAAGGTGGCTCCGAAGGGGCAAACCCTATGAAAGAAAATGCGCCCTTGGAGCGTAAAGCCTACCATGCCTCAGGTGAGAAAAGTTGGATCTTGTGACATTAGTTTCGCCTAGCTCGAAAAGCTTGTTCAACAGCTGGGGATTGCCTCTCAAAGGACAGTATGCTGTATCACCCCGAGGGGAAATGGACCCATGGGTTCCTGCTTCAGGAGCGTGTCATGTAGACAGTGTCACTCGTGTCTATTGTGCATGATCATCTGCCTGCGGGCGCAAAAAGGGAAAGTGGCCAAGCGACGTAAACTAAACCACAAAGTTGCGAGTGCAAATCTGTAAAGGGGGTGAGAAAGGCACCCTGCACGTCATGTGGCTGTGATCAACTGTTTGTTCAATATCATGAACCAAAGCGTGAAGGGTCTGCACTCTTGCGTAGAGAGCTGATTCAACCTGAGGGTGCGTGCGCTCTACGTTTCGCTGAGGGGGCGCTTGTTCCATTGGCTGTGTATTTACACGAAGTGGAGGTTGTTGTAGTTTGTCATTAAACGTCCAAAAACCTGCACGCCGTGGGAGTGATCCTGGAAAGGGGCGCGTCTGGAAAAAGCATCAAGAGGGCCCATGCCCTCTGTGGCCTCCCTGGCCGGCGCCGAATTTGCCAGCACTGTTAGAAGAGGTTCTTCATGGTGCTGAATATGCAGAATCATTCTGCGAACCAGGGACCGTCTTGTGCCACATAGGGTGGCGCCTCTGGTATTGATGGCAATGCAGCCTTGATGGTGAGTGGGATGATAGATCCTTCCAGTGTTGCCCTAAGCTTGAGCAGTGCGAAAAACTCCGGGTAGCAACCTTACACGGTAGACTACCTACCTCCCCTGGATCTTTAGCTCACAACAGGCTCTCTCACACTCGTCCGGTACGGTACGAAACCTTTCTCTCAAACCTCCGAATACTTCGGAAAACTTCAAACGCTGCACTAGCTGCTCTCAGACACTCGCACCCTTTTCTCACACTAGCCAAACGAATTGGCCTTGAGCCAAAACATATCCCGTAGCAAAGAATACACGAAAACATATTAAAAGTCTCTTAAAGCATCTCCACACACAAAGAACTCTTTCAAAACTTCCGACTACGCTACAAGTCGCTTTCAAACAATTAAGAAACAAAATGTTGTACTACCGCCAGGTTCCAAATCTTTCACAAACAAACTTAAACGAAATTTATGCATTGCAAACTGCAAGCATCGAGCGAGGTGGACATCCCGACATGGAATTTCTTCACAGTGCGGGCGGGAAGTGAAACCCTTCAGTCCATTCTGGGAAGGTTTGCCTAACGTTCTCTTTGACTGTCTCCACCGGAAAGAAATGCAGCAAATAGCACTGCGCACGATGTCGCTTCTGGGAAAATTGCACGACAAGGTCTAAAACCCCATAGCGTATATCCTTATGGTTGAGCTCGAAACGTACGAACTGTGTGACATCGACATAAGTGCCATCGTCCGCCAACAGCAGGGGTTCCTGCTGCGGCTGCATTGTAATTCTCCAGGTCTCCGCTTGCCTTCCTTGTTTGCCTGGCAAAGCAACACTTGTAGCGAGTAGTGAGCTCTCGTCGATGACTTTCGTTCAATGGCCCTGCCTTTCATTGCTCATGGCCCTGACGGTCGGCCACAAGTGGAAGTTGTCCTGCGTCTACGGCTGCCTCTTGCCGAATTTTTTGACGCTCTCTTACTGTCGCTGGCAGAGCAACGTCCCCTTTTTCAGCAATCAGGGTATGGGACTGTCACAGCCCCACCTGCCCAGGTCAAAGCAGGACTACAGACTGGTGGCCACACCCCATGAAGAGAGAGGAGGCCTCCCCGAGCGCCAATGCGTTCCACTAAACACGCTCCCAAAGTTGACCCAACGCATGAGAAGCTCCTTGCAGCACTCTCGCAGGCCAAGAGCGTCCCGGACACTCCCATTGAGACTCGCGGTTCTGCCTTTCTACGTGCCCCATGGGATGATGGCACATGCCCATGGCTGAGATGGTTGCGGTAGCCATCCCTGTTGAGATACAAAGGTCCTTCCTGATACTCTGGTGTACCGTGTCCTCCACCAAACGGAGTGTCCAGTGTCTTCTCTCTCCCAGCTGCACAGTCCGGGTAGGACAGACTGGACCTCCTGAACCGGGGGAAGCCTTTGCTGCTTCCCCTTTTCACAGTTACACATTTGCCGGCAGTGCACACAACCACCGTGCGACCGATTCCACCATGGCTCTTGCCGCAACCTGTCCCTGCCCCCTCTCGATCGCAGCCAGCAGGAATTGGCGGAGCTCGAACAGCCGCAGGCCAACTCCTCAAGCAGTGTCCAAGAGAATCAAGTGGATAAACAAGTGCCAAAATAAGTAAAAAGAAATGAAACCACCCAATGAAACAAGGAGTTGCCCCGCGAAGGGCAACAGATTGTCCCATTCACTTGTTCCGCTGAGTTCCCTCACTATGTGTGTGCGACTTGCCGTTGAGGGGACGCGTTACTGCGGTGCCCTGAGTGTCTGTTAGGGCACTCGAAATGGTGTCCATCTCACTGGCAAGCGTCCAACACGCATTTGCTCCCGGCTGGACACTGATATGTTGTCGGTTGCTGTGTGCTCTGAAGAGTATGTTGGATGTCGCAAGCCACTGAGGCATTGGCTTGAGAAGGGCCTTTGGCTCGAAAAGCCACTGGTTTCGTTCAGGTCTCGCCAGCCAAAATTCTGTCAAACAACCACCTGCATAAGCATGTTAAGTCCAGTGGCATGCTGCCAATCGGCGATCAGTAAGTGGCGGCCATAATCCACGAAAGCCTACAGGTAAAGGTGCGAAAAGGCCCCCCCCCGAATGGAGGTCAGCCTAGCACACATTGGCACTCAAAGGTGCCAAATAGCAAGCAGAGTGGGGTGTCTTCTTGGTCTATGAAGCGTTGCACCGTTGCAAAAGGTGATCGACTGCATGCAAGGCCCGTGTGAAACAGGTGAAACTTTGGACAATCCTAGCATGGTGTCTGTACCTCTTTGCACAAAATTGGAAATGTCGGACATCAACAAAGGGAACTAAGGTTCCCCCTGGGCATCCTCCATTGCCACTCTCTACCACCCGCCTGTTAGGAACGA